CAAAAAACCCAAATAAACAATATCATTTTCCTTTATCCTGTAACTCCCCCCAAAATTTCTATTAAAGAACGTCAGAAAGTTTGTCAGGCGGGAAACGACCTTCGTGAATCCATGCGAGTTTCATTTATCAATTTTTGCCTTAAAGGTGACTTCTGATAATGTCAGCTATAATTGATTCTAATAACTTGCCCACTATAGATGTCAGGCTTATTGGACGGTAATTTGAAGGAGTGGACTTATCCCCTGTTTTTGAATTAGGTACCACATTAGCCATCTTCCACAACTCTGGCACAACACTGGAAGGATGGACGCATTAAATTTACACTCGTTAATGGCTGACTAAGCTCCTTCTTGCATTCCTTAAGTACCCTTGAAAACAATCATCGGGTCCCGGGGACTTATTTTGTTTCAGTTTGTCTATCTGTTTAATAACCATGTCCCTCGTGACAGTAATATTAGTTAACTTAAATTCATCAGGAACTAAATAATTGTTAATTACTGGAATCTCATTTACATCTTCCTGTGTAAAACTGACAAAAAATAGTCATTAAATAAGGACACATTTCCGTTCATTATCCGTCAGCTGCCCATTCCCAGATTTCAGAGGTCCTACTTTTTCCTTCCCCTTTCGTCCTATACACTTGAAAGAACCCCTTTGGATTAGTCTTTGATTCATTAGCGACTCTAATTTCATAGTCACGTTTAGCCTTTCTAATCGCCCTTTTTACTTCTCTTTTAAGCTGAACATATTGGTCAGTAAGGTTAACCTCTCCTCTTCTGATGCACCTATAAATTCCCTTTTCTCCCCTAATAGATGCTTTAGCCTCCTGTTAACCCATTTGGGATCGTTATTATTAGACCTAAATTCTCTCTGGGGAATGTATATACTCTGGGCACTGTGTACTTTTATTAAGAAAACAATCATAAAAGCAGATCCTTCATATTCATAAGTATGATTATTGTCATAAAATCATTAGCTACGTAAGACACAGTCGCTCCTCACTCAAAGTTTTTCCTTCGATCCCCGTCGGGGAGGGGAACCTATAGTCATGAAACCAGCGCCTGACTTACTCCTTCATGATGCTTGCAAACCGTGTAAGGATCAAACCCAACAGTGGGTAATAAATGACTCTACTAAACTTGCCCTTGCTGCCTTTGAAAAAGACTTGCCTACGGGTTTTAAATTTATGATTTACAGCCATCAACTCGACGAAAGACTCATTCATCGTCGTCTGTACCGATGATTATGAGCCACAAAGCTGATCGCCGACACTTCTATGAAAACCCTCAGAGCCCGACAGTTCACCATCTCCCCTACCTTTTTTTGCTGGCGAAACGTTCCGTTTTCGTCAAACGGCTGGAAAAAAACTCGTCACTTTTTTATCGACTGGGGATCTAAAGACCTCTATCGAGGAACAACATACAGGGGCGTCGATTGAACATATCACCAAAATCCCCAACGCCTCAAACAATGATCAAGCTAACCTTCTCCAACATCGAGATGGCTACTAGAGCACTTTTGGGACGGCCTAGCTATCTCCTACTATCATATCCATCCAAGTCACATAGAACCCGAACGTTTGGGCCCACATCTCGCCATGCTGACCTCTACTCCTATCACCACTCAACGCCTGACTGTCCTCTGAAAGGGGAAAAAGTACTGCACAAACTGCGGTAAAGACGGCCATGACTTCAAGGAATGTTCTACTACCACTACCTCTCCTCCCTGCCTCAACTGCAGGGGTACTCACCACACCTTGCAGCAAAATGCCCTCTACGTAAAGAAGTCCTGTCTAAGAAAATCATTGAAGAAACCAAGAAGAACAACCCATAAATCGCCAACATACGCCGCCATTGCAAAAATTCGATCAGATACCACGAACTCCTTCAAGCTACACAACAATCATCTCCACCCAGCCAGTCCCTCCTTGCTCTTCCTGACGCTGTTCCACCCAAAGGTGCTATACTGTACGATGTATGCACACCTTACTAATGCTGCAAAACCCTGGCTCATTCAACACAACAATCAATGAACTGTTTCGCCTAAACAACATGCCAAATTTCAACTTTCCAGACTCGCCACATCCACAAGACCTCCTCAAGCTAATTCCAGATATTGTTAACTTCACCTCAACCCCTGGTCCTACTCGTATCTCTGACCAAGACTCTACCCAGAACCAACCCACCGTCTACTGCCACCCCCCTCACCACCCCCCACCACCCAACAAATCACAATCGACCAACACTCCCTGCCTCCTCTCAACACAGTCACAGAAGACGAAATAGTACCAGAACATTATGAACAACCCTCGGACAACGACGAAGTAGTAGTCGAAGAAGAAACCACACGCAACCGTTACTTAAGCCAAGCCTTTTAATGGTCTCTAACCTTCTAAAAACACCCCCCAACCTCCCACCCGAAATGAGCGGAGCTGATATGCTCCACTTAATGAAAGAAGGAGCTGTTAAGTACACCTGCACCAAACCTCACCAAAATTCCTTTTTAAAACGCACTATCTTAACCTCGTGACGAATCTGAACTGCTCCAACCTCAAAAATGCAACTATTCCACATGTCCAAGAGAGACTTCAAAGACTCAAGAGTGGCTCCATCACCAGCGAAGTGTAGCCAAACACACAACACCCTTCCCAACACCTGACGTCCAAACCAGCTCTTCACCTCAGCCTGAAGCATATCAGTCAGCGAGCACTGTCTGCAGTCTGCTCTCTCCTCTATGTCCTCAACTGCCCCTCTAGACTGCCTCGCAGTGCCACGCAGCTGGGTTTAGCCCTGGCTCTTTCATCTACAACTCAAGACCCCTTTCCTCTCACGACTGTTCATCGTCTGTCCACACTTCCCCACTCACCCACCCGGAGTCCCAACAGAAGAGCCTGCTATGTGTGTTCTCAATGTCTGTCCCACGATCGACTTAGCTGCTGGGTTAAACCCCGGCTCTATTTCTACTACTAAGAACACTCCTCTCCAGTTACTATTCTTCGTCTGTCCCCTCTTCCCCGCTCATCCCATTTGGGATCTTACCTGAACTTTCTTTGTTCGTTCGATTCAACTTCATATTGTTTCAGAAATTCGGAACAATGCCTTCTCCAGACTGAGGGACTGACCACCTCAAAAATTTAAAGGTGATGGACTGATTACAACGTCCC